AAAAAAAAAAAAAAAAAATTACTATCCTACCTCCTACAAGGCAGTGAAAGGTGTTCCCTAGTGTGAAAGACTGTTTCCCTAGGCTCTGCCGTGTGATACCACCAAAACTGTATCTCATTGTTACCAAGGTGCATATTTTTGACATCTTTAAAATCTAGAGGTGTCTTAACAGTTTCTGAGGATCAGGTGGCAGCTGTAATGTATTGTTGTTGCCTGCACTTGTACAACCCTGATGTTATTATTCCCATGGCATGACTGGTTAACTGCCCTTTATCGGTTTTTCAGTCAACAAATGACTTGGGAACATTTTGAGGAAGGTTCGTGAATCCTGGCTGTTATTTGAAATTTTTGTTCTCTTAATATCCAGGGTGTGTCAGCATTAACACTTCTAGTTAGTCTAAGGGTGTCAGTGACTTGCAAGGAAATCTGAGAGATATTTGTGGAGTAGAATATAATTTTAAGAAGTTTTTTTTTTTGCGGTACGCGGGCCTCTCACTGCTGTGGCCTCTCCCGTTGCGGAGCACAGGCTCCGGACGTGCAGGCTCAGCGGCCATGGCTTACGGGCCCAGCCGCTCCGCGGCATGTGAGATCTTCCCGGACCGGGGCACGAACCCGTGTCCCCTGCACTGGCAGGGGGACTCTCAACCACTGCGCCACCAGGGAAGCCCTTAAGAAGTATTTTTATCTTGAGCTCTTGGTGGCATATAGGAGAGTATCATGTGGAAAACATGCATTGATGACAGTGAGAAAACGATTCAAGAGATTCTTCTGTATATCCTAAAGGAATATGTTAGCCAGTTCATTTTGCTTACGTTTTCTTGATATGTATGCAGGAAAAAAAAGTACATTAGGTTGTATCATTAACTTACTGTTTTTTCCTTCTCAGTGGTACATAAATTGCATCATTGGCATCTTAGATTCAATGAAATATGGTGTGTGCTTTTCAATATGTAGATGTTTTCGCAGCTAAGAAATTTTAATTTTCTAAAAAATGTATTCGTTTTGAAAAATCAGAAACTGAAAAGTCCTGTGGTAATTGAGAATTGGATGTACTGTGAAATCAAAAGTGAGACTGTTTACTATTTAAAACAAATACTTAATGACTAGAAAAAATAGAAAAATATATAAGTAGCGATTTTATTATAGCCGTCAAGCTAATTCAGTGCCAATTGAAATATTGGTTATTGTTTTTTGTTAACGTGACCTGGTTTTAAAGATGGCAATCTCTGTTCTACTCAGAGAGAAGACAGTGGCGAGCTTTTTTATCACTCAGAAGATTTTAATAATTCCTTTGAAATTCACTGATTTGCTTTTTTTTTTTAATTTCCAGAGTTCGTTTTCCCTCTCTCGCCCCTAGTATTTGAATGAATTAGAGCTCCTAAGATGAATCAGTGTAAAGAGGTGCAACTATATTGTTTAAAAAAAGGAAAAAAATTCATAGTCAATATGGCAAGATCTCAGCATCTTTAATTTTAATGGAACATGGATTTTTTGTTGTATTTTTCTGGATTTGTGAAATATTTTGTAACATTTTTAAAAGGTCATTTTCCTCTTTTGGATTGGTGACTTTAGGGTGAGGACTATGTGATTTCCAGGATAAAATAAAAGTAATTAAGTGTGACTGAAATTAGGCAAGACACTGTACTCGTCTTGGAGAAAATGCTTGCTCCTCTACGGAGAATTTAAAATTATTTTTCTTTCTTGGTTATAGGGCTATGCACCACCACCTAAAAATGGGATTGAGCAGAAGCGCCCTGGACGCCCTTTGAATATTACATCTTTAGTTAGATTATCCTCAGCTGTGCCAAACCAGATTTCCATTTCTTGGGCGTCAGAAATTGGAAAGGTAAAGATTCTTTTCTCTGGGTAGCATGAAAGTGTTCCCACTAGGTGTTGATTTACTTTGCTTTTTTCTTAGGCTACTAGCTCCAGCTCATTCAGTTTTCTGTTTGTAACCCCAAAAAGCAGTAATTTTCAGTTCAGGGTAGAGATGTAGAGATTTTCAAGGTTAAAACTTTAAGGTTTCCTGAGTATCATCTCTTTATTTTCTTAGAAAGGAAATAAGTATCAGTATTTCTTAAGTTAATGGTTAATCACAATTGTGTTTATGTGTGTTTAAGTAGTATTTTAAGAAACTGGGAATTTGGGGTAATTTTTGAAGAGGAACAAAGAAAGTTTTCTCAGGCTTTGGAGAATTTTAACATTTGGTTAAATGTACTCATGTTGTGATTAGAAATAATCTGTTCCAGCCTTTCTATGAATAGCTGATACTTCAAATAACATGCGGGCATCCATATGAAAATACTTACTGAGATTTATATTGTTTCCTCTGTGTCTTTAGGTTGATGAACCTGGGTTTCTGCCGATGCTTAGTCTCAAAATGCACTTTGTCAATTATGAGATACTGATTAATACAACAAGGGATTTCCATTTTAGAACTGCTTGTTTATGTAACTGGAATAATAGAATAGCAAGAGATTTCAGTTAACTTCTGAACATCAGCTTTGATGTTGCTGTTTCATAGAAATAAAGGATAGTATTACTATTTGTGGGTGGAGAAGTTGAGTCATGTTTGTAGCCAGAATCATTTGGTTTTACCACGAAGGTAATTGCAGAGCTGGATATAAAGAATATTTTTGTATTGACTGTACAGACATTAGGATCTCTTTAATGATTGTTCTCTTGAGCTCTAATTTCTGAATTTTTACTCTAACTTTTTTATCGTAAGACACTGATCCCTAATATTTTTTATTTGTGTGAACTGAATGTACAGTGGTAAAGCACTGGATAAGGATTTGGGAAATCTTGGCTTAGTCCCAAGTTGGCAAATTGTTTGATTTTGGCCAAATTGATTAATTCTCTGAGGCCTGCTTATTATAAAGAATAAATAAAATCTCGAGAATGGGTGTTATATGTAAATACAAGGGACATTGTTAACTGAGCAAGTATTAATGCTTTAAAGCTTAGTGAGAGGAATTTGAACAGAAGAGTAGTATATCTTTTTGAAATGATTATGAACTTACAGATTTTTTGAGTAAAAGATTGCAGACATTGAAGGCCTGACAGGTGTGGGGGGGTTTTTGCCACATAATGGAAATAATATTCTTTCCTTGTAATTATAATGATTAATTGACTTAAATTTGCACACTATAGTGGGTATTCAGATATTTGAACGGACTGTTACAGGACATTAAAAATGATATTTAAAGTATTTGGTTTGGCAACTATTAAAAGTATTTTGTTGTAGGATTGATTGAATGAATGAATGTAATGAAATGGTAAAGTAGGTTTTTAGCATTTAGGTAAAATTGTATATCATCTCTTCATAGCTTTATAAATAGCTAATGAAAGTTCCTTTGTGCCAAATCTAAGAGAATATGGGATTGGATGCTATTATTTTCTGGCCTTGTCTTTTTGATTTTTATAGTTTCTTCATGTGTCTTATATACTGTAGTAGCTTCCCCTTCCCTAGTAAAATGCCCATTTGGGAACAGGAATTAATTGTCAAATTTTTTCTCAAAAGAAAGCTGATTTTGGGTCCATATGAGTGATTTGCCTAAGGCCATGTAGCAAGTGTCTGCCAGAATTAGAACGGTGGAACTCTGGATGTGAAGTGTTAATTTAGACCACAGGGGTTTGAACTTTGTTTCTGCAGTGGATCTCATTTTTCAATGAATATATTATGAGAGCCCCATTACATAAAAACAGAAAATTCTAGTTAGAAGTGGGCATGGGAGAGTGCATTTTCATTTATACCATGGTGGCCCCTAAAGCACCAGTTTTGCTAAGTTAGAAACACAGTTTGAAAACCACTGATCTGAGCCATTTTATCTTTCACATAGATGTTTTAAAGTTATAAGTGATTGAGAAATATCTCAGTCACTGAGATGATGAAGCGTTCATCTTCCCTAAAGTAGCTCAGTTGATTTTGTTCCCTTCCCAGTCATTGACTGTCCTGTGGAAGTTATTTTGAATGTTATTTTTAGAAACCAGAGCTTCTTAGATAAGTGTTTTATGTAAATAGACTATTATCTCTCATCTTTAATACAGATTATCTTTCTTTGTAGAATTACTCCATGTCTGTATATCTTGTACGACAGCTCACATCAGCCATGTTATTACAGAGATTAAAAATGAAAGGTATTAGAAACCCTGATCATTCCAGAGCACTAAGTAAGTAATGTTTGTAAGACTGAGCATATGAGATGCTTTAAATGGAAATTGAAAAAGCTTCACATATATTTCCATACAGGAACAATTTGGGAACAATTATTAGAAACCTAAAATGAATTATGAATTTAAAATACTCTAAGAATGGAGCCCTATGAATTGAAAAGCCCTTCTCTTAGAAACCACTCCCAAGAGGATTAATTTTAAATCTCAGCTAATCTGATTTTTCACCTTTTCATAAGAAGTTATTTAGGTAAATGTCAGGTTGATGGCAGTTTTGATGCCTACGTTGACTTGAGAATAGGAATGCAAGTCTTCAAAACCTGCGGTGTGTAGTGTGATGTACATTTAAAAACTTCTAACTAAAAAAGGTCTTTTTGCAAAAGAAATGTTGATATCCATCAACAATAATATTTGCCTTCTGAGATGTTTTATTTTGTACTTTGCTTTCATACTGTATAATAATAGGTAGAGAAAAAAAAAGTCTTAACCCAAACTGTAAATAATTCAGTTCAGTAATTGAAGTTAATTGAACAGGACATTCTTTTGGGGGGAAAGAGAATATTTTTCTCCCAGTTCATATCACTGAATGAACCAGAAAGGAGAAGAGGATCTATAGGTTGAAAAGGGAACCAAGTAGGGCTGTTTGAAATGGTATTTTGTTTCTTATACTCAAGCCATTTCTTATTTCAAACAGTACAGTATTGATCTTTCTGCCTAGGGCTGAAAGCCATGGAAGCTCTTCCATAGTTTTGTTTTACCCCACTCAGGTTCCACTGTCTCTACTTACAGTCCTGTTCTCCCTATTGTGGTGTTGAGAATTAGGCATCTGAAGGTGGTGTATGTCTTCATTAGCTTGTATAGATAGACAATAACTTGTATACATTACATGATGATTAAGATCACAGACATTCCCACATCCATAGTAGTTTTCAATAGTTAAAGGAAGTATAAGAATATTTTACCTTTTCTGTTTACAAATTTAACAATTGTTGGAAATTACCAGTACTCCCAAATTAAAACAGTCATGAATGTGTTTTAGAAAAGCATTGAAGCTCAGAGGATAGCTGCCTTCCAAGTTCCTTTCCTAATTGTTGTATTGTTCTTAAGTCTTAAACAGCTTTCTGCTTTGAAACTCTTCCTCACCTGCAATTTTACTTTTAAAAAGAAATTTTAAAAATTCAATTAAACATGTCATCTAGAGTTTGTAAGTTTGTAATTCTTTAACCTAATACTGGAAGTATGGTTGTGTTTTCAGTACATTAATACTTAACATTTTGTTTGTTTTGTTTTGTTTTTGTAGTTTCTTGATCTGTTTGAAGTGTTTGGGAAACTTTATATAAGATGATATATATATTTCTATAATTCTGTTCATATGTCACAATTAATTTTTTAAACTGTGTTTTTATTATTGATTTTCCCTCCTGAAGTTAAAGAAAAACTTACTGCGGATCCTGATAGTGAAATTGCTACCACTAGCCTTCGGGTGTCCTTGATGTGCCCTGTAAGTAAAGCAACAAAACATTCTGGGGCATCTTACTTTTTATAAATTACTAATTTTCCTCTAAAAGTAAGTATGTGAATGAATGGTATATTATAGAATTTTGAACTTTTTTCGTTTTCCCATTTGGGGATCTTCATGGTTAAGCATTATAATTCCAAAGAATGCAAACGTTCTTCAGGCAATGACTAAGCAAGAAGAGATGTAAAGGGATATTGCATCAAAGAGGAAAGAGAGTTTTAGGTTCAGAGTAATCTGTCACAGTTAATTATCGATAATCCACAGCTAATACTGAACATATCTAGAGAGTTGGCTCCTTTTATCAATATAAACGGTATTGAAAAATAGCAGTAAAGTTATTAGGACCTAATAAATGCTAATTGATAGGCGAGGTCAGGAATAGTGGATGAAGGCTTCTTTAAAATCACTACTCTTGGAGGGGACCCTTTGCAGATGAGAGGAACTTTATGAGAAAAGTATGGAATTAGGAATTTATAATATAGTTGCCGGGGGGGAGGCATTTGGTGACCAGCTACCATTGTGAGAAACATACAGTTTTTTAAATGGAAAGAGAATTGTGTCAGAGAAGGGAATAATTTGTTAAGTTCCAATTATGTGCTCCTTATATTGTCTTATTAGCAAGCCTGTATGGAATTGTTCCCATTTTCAGATGAGGAACCTGAGACTGAAAGGGGTTGGCTAACCCAAATCACACAGTTAGTTTGTAGTAGAACAAGGATTTAAATTTTGGTCTTCTGACACTATTCCAGTTCTCTTAAAAGACAGTGTACCATATTGCCACATTGGGCCAAAAATATAAATATCCTGATTATAAGTCTACCTCTGTATTTGGGAAAGCAGATATCTTTCTTTCTAAAGCTTTATTATCTATTATCATTAACTTTAACTTACCTTTATTGGAAAGGGATAGACTTAACATGAAATTGGGATTGCTTCGAAATCGGAAACGTGTGTTTATGAAACACAGAGAAGGTCTGCAGGAGGACATTAATGCCCTGAGGTGGTGGCAGGGGCACTAGAGGGGCTTGGGACCTCCTCTACTCACAAGCTGGGCATGAGTTCATTTGAGTTCATTTCTTCACAGTACCTTTTCCTCCTTCTCATGTTAAGATTGATATTAAATTGGAACATATGAAATTGCCATTTTGTTCGTCGAAAACAGTTTGGATATTGGAAGTTTCTTATGGTTTAACTCTAGTATATTCAGCAAATGTTCATTGCCGGCTATATTCTGATCACAACCACTATTTGGGAAGGGAACTCACGTCACCTTTTTGTTTTAGTATGTCAGACTATTCTATCCGGAAGAAAGCGCTTCTACACAATTTACCTAAGGAGTTGTACAGTTTGCACAGTTCCATTTTCTGTAAGTCTTACTGTCTTGGAACTGGTTTTTAAATTTTTTTTCCATTTTTTCCTTCAAACACTGTGCTGTTCTACATGACAACAACCAAAACAAAACAATAACCAAACTATTGGATTCTTGGACATTCAAAATAGTGAAAGTGGTATATTGGCATCGTTAGGATTTCTTCTATATAAGAATAGGGAATAGTTCCTTTCACATGTGTCAATTTTAATAAAACTGACGGTTTTAAGAAAATTAACATTTCAATGATTTGAAGAAATGAAGTAACAAGATTCTGTTTTAAGTTCATTAAATGTTTTCTTCCTCTGCTTACAAGTGAAAACAGATCTGTTTCTGAGACTATCTTTTGAGCTTTCCTCAGTATTCATCCTACCTGATTTTTTCAGAGCACTTTCTAAGAAAAGAGTGAATGGTACTCTTCAGACTATACTAGTGTTAACCTAACATTGGGTTGCTAACTATAGGATGTGATCTATGTTATCAGAAAACCAAACAGGTGTTTTGATCAAATTTAACAGATAGATGACAGAAGTTAGATGATGAAAGTAGTTTTAGAGGCAGAGATAATACTAGTATCAGTTGAAGACAGCAGAATGGAGGGAGTGTATCCAGCTGACTGTGGAAATAACACAGGATCTGGGGTGGTGATGGGAAACGGTGAAGAAAAAAAGGATCATAGGCGTTTGGAAGGATAAGTGGTGAACCATGGGTTAATTAGGCAAAAATGAGAGAAAATGATAGCTTAAGGTTGGGGAAGAAATGTTCTATTTCACAGTATGGTTTGTAAAGTGATTTGAAGTAGACATGAATCTGGATAGTGAGCACAAGGAAGGTAATTTTACAACAGCTGTTAAAGAGGGATCTGATTGAGTGTGTATAATTAAATTTTTGAACACAGCATCTGAATTTTACATAGGAGTTCCATCTTAGTGATATTAGCTAGTGATTTTTGGACTGTCCTGCAGAGGTAGGCTAGGTGGGTGCCCCAGGATAGAAAAGAAAAATAGGTTTGATTTTATGTCTTGTTTGATTCTGACTCAAGTTTTTTTAAAAAAAGGTACCGCTTCTACAAATAGTTTGGAACCACTGATTTGAGCCATTTTTGCTTATACCTATTGTTTCTTTAGACAGATACTAATTAGTCTATAATGAAGTAAAAATCAATTTGGATACTACCTGCTTAATATTTGATTAATTAAAAAGCTGCATTACGGTGTTAGATACCATTTTATTCATAAAATCAATACATTTCAAAACAGTGCCATCATCTGACTAAATAGAATTCAGCACATTCAAATCTTTTTTTATTAACATTACATAATCAGTATTAGGAAATCGGTCAGATTTTGCCAGTTAGTAATAAATGCTTTTTTAACTTGGGAAATGTTCATTAGCTCTTGTAAGACACTAGAGTAGCATTAAATTTAGGATCAGCAACTTTTGTAGTCCTGAATGTTTTTGTTTCTTTATGCTATGGAAATTCTAAAGCAGTTACAGGAGAGATGAGAATGGCATAGAAGAGGAAGAAAAAGAAAAAAGCAGCAGATTGCAAATTGTGGCCCAAGGGTACCTGGGGATCCCTGAGACTCTTTGAAGAGGTCCAGAAAGTCAAAACTATTTATAATAATACTAGGACACAGTTTGTCCCTTTCTTGCTCTCATTCTGTCATGAGTAGACAGTGATATTTGATAGGGGCTACCTGACAGGGGCTGATGTCATTGCTCTGATGGCTGATGGAATGTGTACTTGTGTATTCTTGTGTTTTAAAAATGTCTCTTAATTTCTAATACAATAAATATTGGTAAATACAGCTTACATACATATAAGCTCTTGGAGGTTCTCAATTTTGAAGAGTGTAAAGGGATTCTGAAGCCAAAAGTTTGAGATCTGGTTGCCTAAAAAAACCGTAGTAGGTTGAGTTAGATAGAACATTATTTTAAAGAAACAAATCCAAAAAATTGACAAATAATGCCTACTTTATTATACAGTTGTTCAAATAAGCAAAAGAGAAAATTTTAAATTACTAAAACCTATTCAGAAGTAACATTTTAAATAATATATCTTTCTTTCTAGATTTAACTCTGTTTATAATCATGTGTATGTTTATTGGAAAAAACTGTATTGTGCTATATATACTGTTCAGTGGTTTACTGTTTTTAAATTAATGGTATATCTTAAATATATTAATATGTCTAGATCTAATTTTAACCACTCTAGGTATTTTGTTGAATTGGTATGGTACAGCTTATTTTTTTCACCTGTTTTTAGTGATTATTTGGGTTGTTTACAAACATGGATTATGTAAAAAAACAATGATGGAAAATTCCTAAATAAAACACTAGTCAGTAGAATCCAGTACTCTTTTTCAAGGATAATATGTGATAACAAAGGGATGCCTCTTAGGAATGCAAGTATAGTTTTATATCAGAAAATCTGTTGAAATTATCTATAATAATAATTGAAAAAGAAAAAAAAATCCTCTGATCATCTCATTAGGTGCTAAATAGATATTTAGTCAACATCCATTCCTATAGAACAAAAACTCTTAGCAAAGTAGGAAATGGTAGATAAGTAAAACCAAAAACTACCACCATGTATAATGTAAAACTAGGAACGTCTTTATGAAATTGAAAAACATTTGGATTTGTGTTATAGCTCTAGCAACTGCATCTTAGTGATTGTATTGTTTTTAGCCTCTTGTAGCCTCAGCATCTTCATTTCAGAAGTAGATATGTAGATACTAGTCCTTTTGGAGTCATGGGGTTGTTATGAGAATTGTATGAAATTTACATAAAAGTCTTTAGCATGCTGTAAGGTTCTACATTACTTAAGGGATAATTTGTTATTAAAGGAAGGGAAAATATAGAGGGAAATATCATAGAAGAGAAATTGCCTCGCATTCTTTTCTCACTTTTTTTCCATCTTAAATAGTTAAATTGTGCTGCATACTTGCATGAATCACTGTAACTTCCAAAATCTCTTTTAGAATCCTAGACACTTAGAGGTAGTATGGACTCTGGAGTTAGAGCATCTGTATTCAAATATTGACTCTGCCACTTTCTAACTTTGTAATGTTAGTCAATTTAGTTAGCTTCTTTTTGCCTATTTCCTCATTATGAAATGGGGATGATAATATATATCAACTGTATAGTGTAGTTGTTAGGTTAAAATGTAAAGTGTCACGAAGATTAATGTAAAGTATTCAACATGATACCTTACATGTAGATACAACTATATAAGCATTAGTTACTGCTATAATGATGAGTTGGATAATTATTTTCTTTTTAAATTATAAAATAACCAAATGTTCATTTTAGCAGAAAGAAATTACAGATAAACCAAAAGAAAAAAAAAAAAGGAACATTCTAAAAATCCTACGCCTCAGGCACAGTTAACAGTGTTATAGTTTAGCTGTGACTTCTTCTAGACTTTATAGTGCAAATAAAGAAGTCTTTCTTTCTTCCTTTTCTTTCTCTTTGCCCCTTACCCACTTTCTCCATTCATTCTACCATCTGGCTGACAAATACTGAGCATAGGCTGCGTGCTTGGTACTGTGTTGTGACACTTGGATTACACTGGTGAACAGTGACATAGACCTTGCGGGGCTTAGAGTGTAGTGGGAGAAACAGATTTTCTATCAGAATAAGAGAGCTGGTTATAAACTGAGATCTTTTCTATAAAGGGAGTATACAGGGAGATTCAAAAGGCTCTACAGAAAAACTTGATCTGATCTAATCTGGATGCTATATATGTCTTGATGTTGGTATTCCTCTACCAATTGGAATAAGAATTGAACAGAGTACTAGGTTATAAGAGTATATTGAAACATCAACATATGCGCTTATACAAAAGTGAAAAAAAGTATATAAAAATGTATTTGCAATTCATATCACATACATGAGGCTGATTAATATAGGTAACCAAAGATAAATAACCAAGTGGAAAATGAGAAAAGGTTATTAATAGACAGTTCTTGGAAACACAAATGACCCTTAGAAGTAAAAAAAAAAAAAAAGAAAAAGAAAAACAGCAGCAGCAGTTCAACTTCACTTATAATAAGAGAAGTGTATTCCAAAACTACAATGGGGTACTTTTCACCTATCAGATTGGCAGAGGTCAAAGGATTCAATAGCGCTATATTGACAAGGTCCAGGGGAACCAAGCACGTTAATACATGTATATGTGTAAATCAGTAGGTAACCTCTGTGGAAGATAGTTTGTCATTGTGACAAAAATCATACACTTTTTCTTTGACTCAAAAAGTTTACTTTTAGGAATTTATCCCATAGCTATTTATTGCAGTATTATTTGTCGTGATGAGATTGGAGACAGTTTAAATGTAAGTACAGAATTGTGTGAATTGCACGCCACCATATCTGGGAAAATGTTTTTTAAAATACACATTTGATTATGCATAGAACATCTGTGAAAGGACATGCAAGAGATGGATAACAGTGGTTCTCTCTAAATAGGGGAAGAGATGAGAAAGAGACATGTTTTCATTGTATATATATCTTTTCCTACCTGTGAATTTACAAGTTTTACCTACTTTCAGAAAGTGAGATGGTCTTTTAAAACTTATACGTCCTTCAGTGAATACAAATAAAATATATAGCAATCTTGATGGAAATAAATACTGGTTTTAGTTTCTTTTTCATTTTGTTAGTCTCGTATGACTTCTTCACATTTTTATGACTTTTGAGGCTTTGTTCTCTTTTCTGAAATGATTTCCCATGTTGTCTTCCCTGTCCCATAGTTAGGAAAAATGAGGCTGACAATCCCATGCCGTGCAGTGACTTGTACACATCTACAGTGCTTTGATGCTGCCCTTTATCTGCAAATGAATGAGAAGAAGCCCACCTGGATTTGTCCTGTGTGTGACAAAAAAGCTGCCTATGAAAGTCTAATTTTAGATGGGTAAGTGTATCCCAACATAATACTTAATTATACTTAATCTTATTTCTAAACTGTAGTTAGTGGCCCTTTTATCTTTATAATATTCTTTGTGTTGGGGACAAGAGGGTGAGTAGTTTCCTTTTATTTTTGCTTTTCATGATCATATTTCATTGTCCATAGGAAAGGGTAAAATCCACTTAGTGATGTCATTTTGCTTACCTAGAACTTCTTGAAGAGCAACCAGGTCTGTGTAAAACCGCAGAGCAAGTGGTAGGGTGGATAGAGTTGTGTTATGCAGCTGTTAAGTTTAAAACTAGAATTCACTTCCAGGTTTTTCTGACTCTGGAGCCCAAACTCTTAAGCATTATCTCTCATGTCATATTGCGTATGTCAGAATTAAGGAAAATGATATAAACTAATTATTAGTAAATGAGGTACCCTTTTTTTCCTGTAACACTGTTTAAAAAAAATTGCATATATCATCCATGCACCCCTATAAACATTTAGGAAATACAGTTAATGAAAAGATTAAAATAAAATCATCAACATCTCACCCTATGGTGATGATTTTGTTATTGATGTATTAAAAAGGTTGAAATCACTCTTTGCATAATGATGTGTATATACATCATGATTTTCACTCTATAGAGTGAAAAATATCCTAGATCTTTAAAGATACTTCAGCATTTTTTTCAGTTTGAAAAGAGTATTACTGTAGAGAGGAATGAGACAATGAAGAGTGATGGGACTTTTTTCTCTGTAAACTTTTACTTTTTAACTTACTTTGAAATAATTTCAAACTTAGCAAGAAGTTGCACAGTAGCACAATGTGTTAGTTGTTAACATTCTGCCATATTTGTTTTGTCACATTCCCTCTTAATGTGTAGGTATTTTTGGTGTGTGCATGTGTGTATATAGAGAGAAAGAGATTACTATTTTCAGAAACCTTTTGAACCATTTGAGAATTAAGTTGCATATATCATGTCCCTTTGCCCATTAATATTTTAGGGTATGTTTCCTAGATACTTGATGTTCCATTGTGGGTACATTACTAATCATTTAAGCAGGTTTTTTTTTGTTTGTTTGCTTGTTTGTTTTCTTTCCTCTTGGGTTGGCCAAAAAGTTCCATAAGATCTTATGGAAAAACCCAAACGAACTTTTTGGCCAACCCAATATTATAGCCTACATGGTTGCCACTCTTTCTGTTTTACCTTGTGATATGAACATTTTTGAAGCTTTTGTTTGCTCATTTAGACAGAGTTTTTTTCCTTAAGCTCTTAGAAATTGAAATGCTGAATAAAAGAGAATATATAATTTTAAGACTTTTACTATTTATTACCAAGATGCCTCCCAGGAGGAGTAAACGATTTTACGCTCCTAGTTGTCATTTCACTCTCCTGCCAGTAGTGTATTGGAAGCCCACTTCTCAGTCTTCTTACCAAGCTTATCATATTAAATCTTATTTTTAAAATGCCTTTACTAGTTTTCTAGTTGAAAAGATATCTTATTGTTTTGATTTTTATTTATTGTAAGAATTATCAGTTATGAATAATTATCAATTATTATCTTCATCCTTATATTGGTTGTTACAATACTTTTTATGAATTGTCTCTTAATGTTTTTTTTCCTGTGTGGTTCATCTTTTTCTTACTGACTTATAAATGCTCATTATATACTGAGGATATTAATTTCTCTGTTTACATGTGCTAAATATATTTTCCCAGTTTGCCTTCTGATTGTATTGTGACATTTTTCTCATTCAGAAACTTTAAATTTTTATTCCATCAGGTCTGTCTCTTCATTTTGGTTTTCTGTCTTTAATGTGTTTTAGAAAGTCCCAGAGATTTTATATGAGCGTTCACTTGTTTTTTTGTCAGGTACTTTTAAGATTTCATTTTTTT